CTTATAACTACTTCTATACTCATTTCCTATGCTAAACTTTTCTCTGCCTCTTATTCTTTTTTGGCATTCAATTTTTCCTGGCTCTCACTGCTATCTAGTTGTAGTTTAAAACTTCCCTTACAACTGAGTTATTAGCCTTAGCAAACAAGCCAGCCCCTATCCTATTTAAATGTAAACCATCCATTTCGAAAAGCTTCTTTCTTCCACTGAACTGATCCCACAAGTCCAACCAGCCAATCTGCTCATCCTTACCTACTAAACTAAGCCAAGAATTTAACCCTAGTGACCTATTTATAACTTCATCCCCACAGTTAATTCTGTGCATTATCCCTGACAAAATTAAGTTATGGCCATTTTCTTTGAATGCCTTTATCGACCACTTGTACTTATTAATTAGATCCTCTGACCTACCTTTCCTTACATCAATATCCCCAACATACACCACAAAACTGCATCTCTGTTAGTCCCCTTTATTATATCTCCTACTCTGTCAGTTATATCCTCCATCTATGCTCCTGAGTAGCATAATCTGGTTATTTTCTTCCTATTTACCCCACAGACTATCCTATCCACATGCTGTTTCAAGGAATCACCTATAATTATATCCTCCTTATCATCATCATCCTTCTCCGACCCTTTGTTTTCCTTCCCTCCAATAGTTCCTTGTTTGCAGAAGCCAAGGGCTGAAATTTGTTGCTCAATAGAATAAGCTCATTACAATTAAATTCACTTCTTTTAGCCCTTATATAAATTTGAGGAAACTAAAAAATAAATGAAACTTTCTAGAAAATGTTAGCCTGTCTGTATACAAAACATTTTAATACAAGTTGTGAAAGATTAATTAAAATTTGTAAAAAAGTAGCATTATCAGATTTTCTTAAACAAAGAATGTTTTAATAGTCATTTGAGAAGTATTTCGTCACAATTATTCACATTCATTGTATTGACTAATTTTCAAAATGTATACTGACTTTTATCAGATTGGCTTATTTATGGATAATGCTTGAAAATAATTCAGAATTATCTCTTCCTTGTCCATAAAGAGTGTTCCAGCATTGTTACAGTTACAGTAGGGTGCTATAATATTGTTACAACTGTTATATTCTGGTCCATGTAGGGTATTCCAGCATTGTTACAGCTATTTTGTTTCTGGTCTGCATATAGTCAGTAGCATCAAGAGCCATCCCAGGCCCCCGTTGTCAGTAATATCATCAGCCCCCCTTCTTTGTATTTACTAACTTTTGCTTATTTTTCATAAAAAAAAATGTAGGTGACAAGTTTCTTCATGAATCCATGAAAAAGCAAGCCAATTTAGCTCATTAAGTAGTATGCATTTCTAGTGAGCTTTGGAACATCCCACTGCTGGGCCCCGAGGCAGCTGCCCCCCCTCCCCGTCAGCCCTGCATATGGTGTTGTGATTTTGTTACCATTTTGAGTGAATTAAAGCTGTGAGCTACTAACTTAGATATGAAGACTTAAGATTTTGCTTATTCATGAATTACAGGTCAACTAAAAGTTGCCAGCTTTTAAAAGTAGCCACTTATTATTAGAAAGTTATTATGAGAGATATGTCAGCATTAACCACTTGAAGTTTAAAGTTTTCATGTTGCTGTTAGTAGGAAGTAAATTATTAGTATGTTTCTAGGATGGAAGAAATGGTTACGAATATGCTACAATTCAAGTCTCGTGTGGACCAGTTGAAGCATGAGAAATCATCTCTTGCTTTAGCATATGAGGTAAGTTTTAACAACCATAAAATCTTGTTCTAATAGTCGTCATCTATATTTTGTTACATATATGTTACTCTTTATTAGAATTATGTCTTATATTAAGGTAGAAAGAACTTAAGTTACGAATTAGAAATTGAATTTATTGGTATGATATAGTTGAAAAATGTAGATTATTACAATTTTGATTGTCAGGTTTTGAGTGTTCTGTCAGCTTTACTTTTTTCTCACACAGTGGTGTAGTGGTAAATACAGAAGTGAGGGAATACATTTTGAAAGTGTTACTATGATTAGTATTTATTACATCACCAATATATAAAAACACATATTTCAGAAATAGTAGCTGTAAATTGTAATTGAAATTGGAATCTACATTTGAAAATGTTACAATAAAAAAATAATTTTCTCTCACCTTGAACTTTTGAATTCCTCGATTAACAGAACTTCCAAACTTGATCTATAGTGAGTTCTTTGGACTTGGTTACTCTTGTTCGTGTATCAATTACTGAACGATGACACCAAAGCCATTTGTATCCATAGTCATCTGGTTTCCAGTTTTGAATCAGAGAGCCGTGAAGATAATGAATTAACAGCCTAGACCTCGTTTCCTTATTGATAAGGTTTGTGCCTTGTTTGGATTTGAAAGAATTGCATGGAATGACTTTTGAACACCCCATTAACAAATCTGATGGAATATGGCACCCACAGTTGTCTAGAAAGTCTCTGTATGCTGTGGTTGTTTATTGAAAATGGAAATCTGAAACATTTGCAAAGAGACTCTATTTCCCTTTTTCCAAAGCCTGCATTTATCTCTGCTGGCCACTCTTTGACTTCTAAGGTACAGAGCTCAGAAATTATGTTTGGAATGGAAATAGAAGGGCCTGGCAGTGACCCATTTGGTTCATGAGAAGAAGTTGGTGTGAATAACCATTGTTTCATATTGTTTATGATACTGGTTAAAAATTGATCATCTTGTTGTTATCTGTCAGTGTTATTAATGAAACTTCATCTCCTTAATGGCATTCTCTGCTTCTAAGGCATTTTTACAATTATGTCCCTTCTTTGCTACTAAAAATGGTATGTTGTGACAAATTAACTTTTCTGCATAAACTGTAGTAATATCCATTTTTATAAGGCTTCTAAAGTGATTAACAAGAAAGTTAAGCTAGAAATATTAGTTAAACCAAAATGGGCCATATTTATATTACTGGAAACTAAGCATGTATTGGTTACTGTGTAAGTATGGATAAATAGGAAACAATATGCTCATAAGCTCTTATACACTTCTACACCTATACCGCTAAATCCCAGGAAGTAACTAACATTCAAATACCTAACAAGTTTATTAGATCAGACTTTGTATACAGCCATATTGTAAATATTTTCTCTCACTTTTATAGAGTACTTTAGACAGTGATTGTTGCAATTACTGTACTACAAACAAGCTGATAAACCCTACCCAACTGTGTTTTCAAAGTTGGGAAAAGTCTAATGCCAAGAGTGGCGATTCATTGCTTTGTTTTCGAAAGATTTCTACTTCAGTTGCTAACAGTAAGATAAATAAAGGAAATAGGTGTGAAAAGATTGGAAGTAGAAATTCTCAGGAGATTGACTTTGGAATTTCGTCGTCCATACTGAAAAGTTCTGACAGTACTATTCATTTTGTTTCGTCAAGTTTCTAAGTCAGCTGCTGACAGTATAATAACTATAGAAAAAGTGAGAAGTATAAACTCTGACCATAAGTTGTTAGGAACTTTGTGATCAATGCTAATAGAACTACACATTTTATTTTGCATTTTGCAATCTTTTCTTTCATTATACTTTGATAACTTGCCTACAACTTGGATGAAAGGATTAATAATTCTTTTTTCTAGAGGTGGGCAAAACTTCATGAAGTTTGAGATTTGTAAAGTTGAATTTATTCAAAATTGTGAGGGAATGGCGTTCCAGCTACAAAAAAAAGGTAAGGGAATGCCGTTCCCATACCACTACACCACTGTTTCCACACTAACATGTTATGGTTAATATTTAGCTGTGAAAAAGGAAATGATAAGATTATTGTAAGTTTAGGTCTAAAACCAGTACAAGAACTTTGTTGACTGAACTTTTAACTTGGTAATTATGGGGTTTAATTAAAGTAAGTTAAACAGGTGAGGAGTTAAATCTTATATAATTAAAATCTCATTTGGTAATATTTGTCTGTTTGACCTTTGAACTCACTAGAACTAAACAACACATACTCAATGCTCCAGTGAAGCATTTTAAACCAAAAACTCTCATAATTAGTTTACAAATAGTCTAAACAATTGTTGTACATTGACATCAAATACACTATATTCAAAGACAGACACTACTAAAGGGAAAAAACAAATTTTTAGCATATTTCATAAATAAATTGACTATCAATACTTTCTATTGTTAACTTTATTGTTCTGGAATTGATCGACATTTCTACACATAAATAAAACAGCCATGTTTTATTCATGAGATGTTAGTCTTTATGCCTTCATCAGGAGCATACAATTTCTGTAATGAACACTGTTACTCAAATTATGACTGTTAGTGATAGAGTTCATTACAGAAATTGTATCTTCTTGATATAGGTATAAAGCTAAAATGTTGAGTGAATAAAACAACTTGTAAGATTTTCTGGAGTTCACATTCGTTTTATTTATGTATAACTATGCTCCAGTCAACATTACATAATTAAAAAATGATCAACATTTTTGTTCCAGAGACAGCTTTAACACTAATCTTGTTAAGCCCTAAGTCACATCATTTTTTATTAATTCAAGCCCATACCACACACACAAACACAAACATACTCAGGAATTCACTGAAGACAGAAGCAGATTACCAACTAAAATGTAGAACATAAATGTATCAGTATCTACTTAATAATTAGACTTAGATTATGATAATTAGTATTAATCATGACAACAGTTATTAATTTTTGTTTAAAATACAATAAGTAAAAGTACTTTTAACACTTGTTTCTTAAACAAAATATTGTTGTATTATTTCTCTCTTTCGAGCAGATTATTATCTCTTATAATAAATTCTATTATCTCTGGTGTGAGAACTGGGGGGTGTTTTCTGTTTCTATGACAGTGTACTATGGTTGCATTTTTCATTATGTTATTCAAACAGATCATATCAGCTCACTATCTTTAAACTCCTTTGCTAAAATGACAGGTTTAAATGAATGCATAGAATTTTTTAAACATACTTTTTTGTTTTTTATAGAGTAAAATCAGGAATTACCAGACCTGCCTGACTTCTATGGAGAAAGAAAATGTTTTGCTTTTGAATGAGCTTTGTCGCTTGAAAGCATCAGTAAGTTATCATGTAAAAATAAATAATTAGTTGTATTAACCCTAAGATCATGAGTCGAACTTGCAGAAATTACCATGTTTTGTTGAAAACTCTAAACGAAAGAAAATCCATCTGACCAAGTTCTCATATAAAACTTTGCATTAATTTAGGTTTCGATTTCTTGCTTTGAAAAATGCAGAGAAAGTCCCAAAATGTTATTTTGGTGTTAAGTTTCCTGAGCAAGGCTACCATTTTAACTCTAATTTACATTGTAAGAATGGTTTTCAACATGTTCATGACATCTAGAAGACTCTGTGCACTAAGTAGAAACAACAATTCATTTTGGCTTTTGTTGGCTGAATTCAGATAGACATGTCTAGGACAGTGAAAATGGTTAAGATGAGAAGAACAGTATCTTATTCGTACTATTTCTTCTGCTTTCACAGTTTTCTTGTCTTCTTTCGATTGGATTCTAACTTTTTTTGTATGACATTTCTTTCTTACCACTTTAACTTCAACAGGAATCAACCCCCTCCTGCATCCACGACATTTGCTTTCCAATGCACCTTTCAACTTTCACTTGCAACTGAGACAAGGATAAACATGATTTTTGAACATTCTCCCATTGTATATTGACAAGTTTAGCTCTGAAAAAATCTCTTCTATTGCTAAATTTTACAAAAAAACAATGGACTTTTACCAAATCTTGATACAAACAGAGGGAAAGACTAATTTTCAATTGAAGATTTCCCCGCAAGAGGTAAACTAATGAGCTGAAAAGCTGTATTGCTTGAAAACTAATTCTAGATCACTGTTGGAAGGCACTTTTAGTGAATTTTAATTATTTATTGGATATTATATAGTTCATCATTAACTTTTCTAATTGTAGCTACATAGTTCTCCAACCACATTCTATGTAGAAAGAGTTTAGCAACACCAAAGGGGGATAATCTATTGATATTAACTTGTGATCCATGCAAGCTACCTACTTAGAACAAAACTGAATATCAATCCAATAATAAACATAACAAATTATTTTCTAGTCTGCAGTTCTCTTGATGCTTATTCAAAGAACTTATCTGTGTATAATTTAGTATTATACTTTGTTTTTTAATGCAGCCTTTACTTTTTACTTTATTCAGACTGTTAACAATAGATCTGGAATCAAAGCAAGTGCTGATAATTCATGAGAGATTTTGAGTTCTTACTCTTAGATTTTACTACCAAAAAGTGAGATTGAAACTTAGAACTGAAACAGGAATGCTTAAATGTTTAATGAAATTGAGCTGAGAATCAGACTTAATTTCTTTGAGTTTAACATTTTTTGTAGGTTTTCAAAGTGCACCTAACAAGTCCATTCAACTTAGTTTACTTTGTTTTGGATTATTCTTATCTCCCACAGCTCCCTGATACCTGAAGCAGTTTAATGTGTGCTTGTAGGTAAAATGTGCAAGGGATATTCATCTCTGATAATTTAATTTATTTAAAAATTAAACTACCTAAATATAGACACTTGAAATTGATATGCGTAAATGTTAAAATGTAAACTTTACAACAAAATTCACTGGAAGCATAAATCTTAGCACATTTTTCTGATTCTAAAGAAACTAACCTCAGGTAGAAGTTTTAGGGCTATTCAAAAATTTGTAAAAGACATTATTACAGTAAAAATGTATTATTTTCTGTTTTCACAGTATAAAGACCAAGAGTATCAGAAAAAGCAGTCTTTGTATCAGATTGTGCTCGAAAGGGCCAGACTTCTCGAACAACAAAATGCTGCTTTGTTGATAGAGAATGAACAACAGCAGTTTCAGTTTGAAAACTGCTTCGATGATATTGTAAGCCAGGTTGTACAAACACTATTAGCACAGAAGGTTAGTATAGAAAAAAAAAAACTGAAATGTTTAACCTTTCTGTCATTAGGAGTTCTTAATATATACTGAAACTAAATTTTTGGATAATATGTTTCTTACCCTAACAAGATTGAAAGACAGAAATTTATATTAGCTAAAAAGTTCATAAATTGCTCATTTGAATTAAACTTCTCTTTATTAACAAATCTAAGGTATTAAGTAAGTTTAATATCCTAATTTGGTATTTACTGAGGGCAATACACTTTTTTGGGAATTACATCATTTTCTCCAAATTTTACATGGTTCTTATAATAAAATTTTACATTAACATAGAAACTAATAAAAATTTTAGTTTGTGAGAAAATACCTGATGTAGATTTTAATTTTGTAGTTCTGTAAATTTTGAATTGATTTGGCAGATACTGGTGATTTTGCTTCTTATTTTTTATTTATGTTATCAATAACTGTAGCATTTCCAAAAATATTTACTTTATCAAAAAATCTTTCTTTTCTCCTTATTACATGTTTATTTTTATCAATTCTTGTATTCTGTAAGTGTGGATTCAATTGACTGCTTTGACCAAATACAATCTATTTCTGTTGTTTATATTATAGTTTCTCATCAGATGTCATGTTTTGGCCAATTTCTTGTGAAACTGCTTGTTGAGTAGTGTAAATTGTTTCATTTTAACATTTAGCTACATTACTTCAAGCTGAGAGACAGTTAACATAATAATTTTAAACAGCCATCACCTTGAACCAAGTTTTGACAGTGTGTAAATTCTTGAATAGGTGGCAACTGCCTGTAGTAGAAAAAACACAAGATGTAAGGGTTTGAAATGTCATACTCTACAGTTGTGTTTCTTCGAAAACAGGCAGTTGCCACCTATTCCAGTGTACTCATTAGTGTGTAAATTGTCTTATTTCACTATTTAGCTACATTACTTCATGCCAAGAAACATTTAACATAATCCATTTAAACAGCTACCATGTTGAACTGAATCTTATCAGTGTGTTAAATCTGTCAGGTTTTTCAGGCCACATTTCCATAATGCGTGCAGCAGTAATGCAGCTTTTTGTCAGTATTTAGGGCTTCATTTGAACTAAATTAATCTTTGTTCAAGCAATTGGTGTGTTTTATATTAGCCAGTATTTGTAAATATATATAAGAGTTTAAGTAATCCCTGAATAAATGGGATATATTTCATGAGTGTTTACTTGTCCGGGTTCAAGTAATCAATGAATAAATGGGACATATATCATGAGTGTTCACTTGTCTGGGTTTATGTAATCTGTGAATAAATGGGATATATATTGTTAGCCCAAGTTATCTTTGAAGGTATGTATTAAGCATGCATTTTGGAGCATAAAGTAGGCAGATAAAATGGCACTGCTTTTTAGGGCAAGACTGCCTAGAGTGAAGTTATTTTGCAACTATCCAACTGGTGTTCTCAGGGTAATATAAATATATACATTCAGTTCCTAAATCTTGATGATCTGACTATTGGGATTTGATTTAATAATGTTTCTTGTATAGTTTGTTTTGATACATTGTAATACTGTCTGTTAGAAGAATGTTTCTTCGTACTACATTTGTATAAATCATTATGTATGTGAAGAAAAAGGATCAACACTTTAGTGCCTTTTGTCTGCATTAATATGAAGGGTTTACGAGAGGAATACAGAAAGTTGCAGCAAAGAATTGTGGATCTAGAACAGCAGAACAAAGTTTTGGATGCCATTTTTAGAAAGCAAGTTCTCTACTCTGCAGACCTCTTTTCTAAGGTAAGGTTTAGCAAGTATTGTATAAAGTACTTGAAAAAAAAAAGTGTGTATTAATGGTTTGATAAGTTTAGGGGCTCTGAAGTAAGAATAATCAAATCCAAATAGTAACACATCATCCACTAAGTTTATAATTTTCCTGAAAAGTGTAAATTAAGACTGGACAGCCCTGAATTCTTGATACTGTGTACAAAACAGATCTGAACCCTGACTCTGTTTACCAAACAGATCTAAACCTTTGTCTCTGTTTACCAAACAGATCTAAACCCATGGCTCTGCTTACCAGGTAGATCTAAACCCATGATTGTTTACCAGACAGATCTAATAGAGTCTTGGGTTTAGATCTGAAAAAATGCTTGGAAAGAGAGAGCTTAGATAGCAAAGTGATAGGTTTATTAGGTTATTGTCATCTCCAACTCTTCTGTTTCTTCCATCATTATTTTTGTGCTCACACACCAAAACGCCATACCCCCTTGAGGGGGGCACACCCACAGTTTATAAAACACTGTTGTAAAAGATAAAAACACATGCTGCTGAACTTTTTCTTCTTTGTAAAAGTCAGGTATATTTGGATGGCAGCATTAGCTTAAATGTGCATAGTTATTGGAGTTTGTCACTATTAATAGTAAATGTTTTCTGCACAGAAAAGTATGAGCATTAATTTCTGTATATATATTTTTAATATTCTTCTGTTTTTCATCTGATGATGTTAAAAATAAAATTTCTTAAATTTATACTGTTCCTTGATGTATATAAAACAAGGGAGTTAGTTTAACAATAGTGGTGTCTTTCTGAGAACTTTTTTCTTCTCTTGGAACCTGGAGTCTGGACCACATCATCAAGGTCCTAGTCAGCAGTCAAGTTTTAACTCACCAACCCACACTAGTCAGTCCGAAGACAGTACGGATTCCTTGGCCAGTCTCTGCAGTGATTACTCAATCGGCAGTCGAAGTAGTGAAGGAAATGTGAGTATCATAAACAAAATAAAGGGTAACACTTTATAAGAACCATTAAAGATAAATTTGGAATACCACAGATAAGGGATGGATGGTTCTGTCTCGTGTAGTAGAACACTATTCGGTGCAATCTAAAATCTTTATGCTTTTTTTTAGTTGTTTAGGATTAACAAACTATTTTATGTTTTCTGATGAGAAAGAGTGGTCCAAAAAAGACTGAGATAAATCTTCAAAAATTTCATGATTTGTTGAAGTTTTTATTAACTGTCATCTTCAGTAAAAAAAAGGTTTTCATGAATTGTGTAAAAAACAAAATACAAACCTGTACAGTTACTACGAATACTAAAGTGGCAAGCAACTAACCCTTGTAGAGCCTTTTCATCATACTAGAATTGTTTTTCATTCTACAACTGAAAAAATTGCAGTAGATTTTGTTTCTGTCTTTCAGGTTATTTCACATCCAGGACTCCCCAAAATGAGCTCTCCTCCCCAGTGGCTTCGAGATCATCCTTCTATGCCAAGATACAGTTCCAGGCAACCAATCCCAAAGTCAGATATTTCAGCCAAAACGTTTTTGACTAATACATCTTATGAATTTTATAGATCAAGTATGATGAAACGATGGGCTGACCTTATTCCTCGGCCAACAGATCAAGAATGTTACAGCAAAGATGAAATATTTAATTATGCCACACAGGCAGAAAAGCTAGAAAACAATAAATTTAAACCTCAAGATACCCAGAGTTGTTTAGAAAGTAAGGTCTTGAAAGGAATAAGAAGAGACTTGGCAAGTTGTAAAGTTGCAGTAGGGCAACAAGAATATAGTAAAAAAAGTCAAAGACAGCCATCTGATATTCTAGGTTTTCATACCATTGAGAACCCCAGTGAGCACCGAGACAATTTTCCCTGTGAATCAGTTTTCCAGAAGTTATTAACTCCAACAGAATATAACACAAAGTATATATATCATGTTAATCAGTATGGACAAACAACTACAACTCAAAATACAGCAACTTATTGCAAGCCTCTGGTAAGCAGGAATTCTTCTTGCATTTCACAGCAGAATCAGAACACTTACTCTGCCTTTCCAAAAGTGTCATCACAAACTGACATCTGTTGGTCAGAGGCTAGCAATCCACTTTCCACGACCCTAGATATTGTTCCTCAGGATCACTCTCAAGCCTCACACAGTGTTAGCTTTCCTACCTTAAACATGGTTCCTTCTGGTCACCATGAAGTCTCACACAGTGTTAGCTTCCCTGAGACTAGCATTCCATGTCCCACAACCCTAAACATGGTTCCTCCTGGTCATCATGAAGCCTCACACAGTGTTAGCTTCCCTGAGACTAGCATTCCATGTCCCACAACCCTAAACATGGTTCCTCCTGGTCATCATGAAGCCTCACACAGTGTTAGCTTCCCTGCATTGGAACATAAACTCCACAACACTTGTGAAAAAGTAGATCTGCCCTCGTTTATAACAAACAAATCAAGAGTTCCTGAAAGTCCAAAACATTCAGTTTCTCCGGGTAAAAACAGTCTTCTTGAAAATTGGTACACAGATGAGTATAGCTCAAAGCTAAACTCCTTAGGTGAAGAGTACACTAACACTGTTATTCGAAGAGGACATAGAACAACCGAAGTAAATAAGTGGTGCACTAAACGTGATGATTTACAAACTTTTGTTACTTCAGCAACAAAAGCACAAGTTCATTCACACCTTACACATAATTCTCCCTCTCTAACTCTCCAGTCCATGAAAGAATGCTCGGAAGCTGGTGAAATTTTGAAACATTCAACTTCGGATGTTTCCGAAGGAATCCATCATCCAGCTTTGACCAAGAAGTTATCACAAGTTCAAGAACATAGTGGTAAAGATGAAGGATATTCCACCATGTCCAGCTATACACAGACAGATGTAAACATACCCAGTATTGATCCTGAGGTGAATGATACCTTTAAGTTAAAGTCAGAATTAATTCTGCCTGAGCATTTAATCAGTGGGGTTGATGTAGATCCTCTAATGGTGTCATCGTCTGACAGTGGTTTGGGGTTGCCCCAAGGACTTCAAGATCAGAGGCTTTCATTTCAGAATAGTGATGATGGATGTGTGTGCTTGGATCAAAACATGGATGGTGTGCTGATTCCGGGTGGAAATTCAGTGTCTCTCTTGGATACAAAGCCATCAGTTAGCATCTCTCCTACCTCAAATAGTAGCGATAAAGAAGGAAAAGTTCATTTAGACAACAGTGTAATGGACACATCGTCTACAGGGCAATTCCCATTTTTCTGTGAAACAGGAAAGAAAGACTCACCTTCAACTTATCAACTAAGCATATACCCTAGCTATGATAAAATCTTAACTCTACTTACTCCTCAGGGATACAAAGCAGGACGAAATGACATGAGAAGGATTACTCTTCCAGCCCTTCGGTTACCCCATATGTGTAAAATTGAAACTGCGGAGAAGTCTACTTCAGTTGAATCGAAATACCTTGGTATTGACAGCAGTCTCTCTTTGTCTCCTGTTAAGCCCAAAGCACTGAAGGAATTGGTGTTGAAAAGTGGAAAGAGGCAAGTACATAGAGAGACTCAGGTAGAATTTCATATGCCCTCTGGTGCCAATTCTCTTTTCAAAACAAAATTCAGTTACAGAAAGCAAATGGAAGCAGCCCATGTTTCTAGTTTAGAAGCTGAACCTGCCATAAAGAAATGTATCAAAGACAATACTTATCAGGACATAACTTTATTGCACTCCATTTGTAAGTTTTGCCAAAGATGCATTAGTTGTAAACCTTGTCAAAGCTCCATGAAGTCAACAAACCTACCTGTTGTAGACACTTTCACTATAAGACGGGTCATTTCTGACTCCTGTCTATATGTTAAGAAACAAAGAAAGTACATAGTTAATGATCTTATAAAGTTATCTTCAAATGATGATCAGCGACTAAACCTTCAGCCGTTGATGCAACACTCATCTGCTCACGATCTTGCTCATACAGCCGTTATTGCTTCATCAAGTTACATTCCAGGACTATGGCAGAGCCCACATCAAGTTTTGGTGAACCAAAGACAGGGTCATACGAACTGTAACAGCTGTTCAAATAAAACAGTAAGTTGAAATATTATCATATACTATATATGTCAGATAAGGTAGTGAACACTCAAATGAAAAAAATATGACAATTATGGTTAAGGAAATTGATGAGATAGATGTAGAGACTACCAAATTTAATCAACTATGTTAACACGAAGCATGATGTCAGTCACCAGTAATTGGTTATGTAATATGACCTCATTGACTTGAGTGCAACTTCTTCCACTGAATTCATAACAAATACACATTTTAACAGATGAAAGCTATAGCTTCCCAGTGATAATTTTTTAGTGTAAGATAATTCTTGTTGCCTCATAAGACTTTTTCTGCGATTCACAGCAGTTAGATTATGGCTTTAAATATGCTTGTTTTAAAATTTTATTCATTAGAAAATATTTTTACAGTGTGTTGATTCTTCCAGACCCTTAAAAAAACCTTAAATAGGCAGAACCAAATTGAAGAATATGATCTATATTGAGTTAATCTAATTGCTCTTAAAAACATTTGAATGTGCATTTATTTGTCTTCAAGTTATGCTTCCAAGATCTCAATGAGAAAGCTATAACATTGCAGTAAGAATTAAAATTAAAGACACTGGTTACTTACTCATATAATGTGTAGGGGACAACAAGGAACGTTTTGGTCCATCTTGGCTGTCCCATCCACTAAACGAAATTAAAATTCACAAATAAATAAATAATAAAAATCTTAAAGCCAGCCCTTATCATTCATATATTTATCAAGCTTTCTCTTAAACTCACTTAAAGTTACTGCTTCCACAAAATCCGAAGGCAGCACATTCCAAAGGCCAACCACCCTGTTAGAAAAATAAAACTATCTTAGCAGAAGATGACTCCCACCTTGCCAAAATTTATACTTGTGTCCCCTAGTCTTACTATTCTTACTGTCATTTATGAAAAATAGATGATGCATCCACACTATCAATTTCCTTTACAATCTCAAACACTTCAATCAGATCCCCCTAAATCTTATTTTTTTCAAGAGAAAACAATTTGAGAGATTTCAACACTATCAATTTCCTTTATAGTCTTAAACACCTCAATCAGATCCACCCTAACTCTTATTTTTTCAAGAGAAAACAATTTGAGACATTTCTACCTCTCCTCATATGACAACCCCTTCATCCCAGGCACCATTCTAGTAACTCTTCTTTGAACCCATTCAAACAATTCAATGTCTTTTTTAAGGTAAGGAGCCCAAGACTGAACATAATATTCCAAATGTGGCCTAACCAGTGACCAAAACAATGAAATTTTAACCTCTTTAGACTTGTATTCAACATTTCTGTAGGTATAATCTAAAATCCTATTTGCCCTACCATTAGCAACAGCACACTGCTTGGATGGCTTTAGAGACTGATCAACTATTACACCAAGATCCCTTTCTTTCATAAAATTGTTAAGGTTATTCCCATCCAAATTATACTTATAATTCAAATTATGATAACCCACATG